CACATGTTAGGCAAGCGCTCTTATCACTAAGCTACATTCCCAACCCCAGACCCAGTTTCTATGTTAAATTCTTGGCTTGGAATTTCCAAACTATAGGAGTAGTGAAAATTTCTCCCAGATTGCTTTTCTGCCCCTGCCTAGATCTTTGTATAGACCCTCTTCCTTGGAACTTTCTAGAGTCTAGAATCACTTCTGGATAGCGCTTGGAGAATTCTAGTTTGGCACAGGTTTTTTTTGCTTAAATTCTTTTATTGGTACATTTTAGGTATATAATATGTTTACATTTATCATTGGGTCCTTGTACCTGGTACATGATGTATCTTGGTTCTTATTTTTTCCCCATTACCTGTGTGCCCTTCACCCCTCCACCCTTCCCTATTTACAAAGTTTTTGTCCATTTTTTTTTCTTTTCTCATAATTTTTCCTTTCCCTTCTTTCCTCTCCCCTTCCCCTCCAACTTCTCCTACCCCTTTGGATGTTTTCTTCCTATTTCAAATTATCAATTATTCATTTTAATCATTTTAATCCTTATTTACACTTTCACTTTCTCACACCAGAGAAACTATTTGGTATTTACACATGTGTGTCCCATTTATTTCACTTAAGAGGATGGCCTCAATATGCATCTATTTAGCTATAAATGTCTCTAGTTTCTCATTCTTTATGGCTGAGTAGTACTCCATTTTATAAAAAACCACATCTTCTTTACCTAGTTTCCAGTTGATGGGCAATTGGGCTGTTTCCAAGCTTTAGCTATTACAAACTGTGCCGCTATAAACATGGGTGCACATATATCGCTGTGGTATGATTCTTTTAATTCTTTTGGGAAGATACCCAGCAGAGGGATAGCTGGGTCAAATGGGACCTCTAATCCTAGTTTTCTGAGCTATCTCCATACTGATTTCCACAGTGGTTGCACCAGTCTGCACTCCCACCAACAATGGAGAAGGGTTCCTTTCTCCTCACACCCCTGCCAGCATTTGTTACTGGTTGATTTCTTGACAGCAGCCATTCTTTCTGGGGTGAGGTGGAATCACAGTGTTGTTTTCATCTGCATGTCTCGAATGACCAGTGATGCTGAACATTTTTTCATGTTTATTTGGTGCTTTTACTTCTTTGTCTAAGAAATGTCTGTTCATTTCAGATGCCCATTTTTGAATTGGGTCTTTAAATTTGGGGGTTCTGATTTTTTTCAGTTCTTTATATATTCTAGATAGTAGTCCTTTGTCTGAGGTACAGCTGCTAAAAAATTTTTCCCACATTATAGGTTGTTTCTTAGCTCTGTTGGTGGTTTCTCTTGCAGGGCAGTAGGTTTTTAAGAAGATGAGATCCCAGTTGTTGATTCTTTGTGGCACAGGTTTTTTGATACAGGTCTCAGCTTAGCAAGTCCACAGCCTTGTTTTTTTTGGTACCAGGGATCGAACACAGGACCTTGCGCTTGTGAGGCAGGAGTGGCGCCACTGAGCTACATCCCCAGTCCGGCAGCCTTGTTTTGTACACCCACATATGACATTAAAATATGACCTTCAAGACTCTTATATCTACATACAGGTATGAAAACAATCCCGGGACACTCAAACCTCTCTAGTTTTTGAGTTATTTTCACATTTGTCACCCGAGAGTTCACTTTCATTCTTCTGAACTCAACTCAATTTTTCAGTGTTTGTAATGGAAGGAATCCTTGTAAGCTCCATCTACTATGTTCCTGGAACCATCATCTGAAATATATTTTGACCCCATTCACTCTTCTATCATTAGTCCAGTGCAAGTCACTGTTCTCTTTCATGTACTTTTCTCCTGTAACCGTCTCCTCCTTACTGGTCATCTCGCATCCATTCTTATCCATTCTTCCCCCATCCAATTTATATTCAATACTGCAGCCAGAATCTAAAAGCCAAGCCTTGTAATTAAGAAGTTCTTGTTACTTTCTGCTTAAAATCTCCTAGTGGCATGTGACCCAGAGATTCTACTCCTAGGTAGAATATGTCCAAGAGAAATGAGAACATATAGCCTCATAAAAACTTGTATACAGATGTTTATAGTAACATTACTCATAATAGCCAAAAGGTAGAAATCCTCAAATGTCTATTAACTTATGAATGGACAAACAAAATGGAATAGTTTTGGCTCACGAAAAGGAATATAGTTCTAATACATGCCACAACATGGATGAACCTTGAAAGCCTTACACTAAGTGATAGAAGCCAATCACAAAAGATGATATATTAGTTCCATTTATAGAAAATGTCTAAAATAGGTGAATCTATAAAGATAGAAAAGCAGATCAGTGTTTGCTTAGGTCTATTGGGAAAAAGGACATTGGGGATGATAACTAAAGGGTATAGGATTTCTCTCTGAGGTGATAAAAATGTTCTAAAATTATCTGTGGTAATAGTTGCACATATCTATGAATATACTAAAAATCAACAAATTATCAGTTTAAATAAGTGAATTTCTTGGTGTGAGAATTATATCTCTATAGAGCTGTTAGAAAAATTCTTCCAGTGGCTCCTAATGGTTCTTGGCATGTAATCCAAAACCCTTATCATGGCTTTCAGACCTTGCACTATATAGCTTTCGCCTACTCTTCAAGCCGCATCTTGGAACACTAGTTCCCCAACTCTGCACTTAGTAGCGATGGCTTCTTTCAGTTTCTCCAAAGACCAAGCACCTTCCCACCTTACTGTCTTGACAACTGTCGTAATTCTGTTTGGAAATCTCTTCTTCTCTTCACCTGTTATCTATCCTACAGATCTCGGTTTGATCTGGTTTGGATATCACCACCTACGAAAGCCTTCTTTGACTCCCCAAGAAGGAAGGACGTCTTCTATAAGCAGGTATTTTGTAACACACCATCATAACTGCTCACACTACTTTTTTTCTGGTACAGGTGAAATACAGCTTATCAAAATACTTGGGACCAGAAGTGATTCAGATATGACTTTTTTTCAGATTTTTGAAATATTTTTATACACATAATGAGATATCTTGAAGAGGAGACCTAAGTCTAAACATGAAATTCACTTATATTTCATGTGCACCTCATACACTTATTCTGAAGGTAATTTTATATAATATTTTTAACAATTTTGTGCATGAAACAAAGTCTCATATTATTCACTTCTAGTATTACATTGGTATTCAAAAAATTTTGGAATTTGGAGTATTGTGGACTTTGGATTTTCAGATCAGGGATGTTCAACTTGTAAATATTACTTGTTTAATTATTGTCTAACATTTTCATTAGCATATATACTTCCCAAGGTTTCATCTATTTTTCTGCTTTGCTTATGCATCACTTGGGCCTATTATTGTACCTAGTGCTCAATAAATATTTTGAAATGAATGAAATTTAGTATGTAATGTGACTCAATCCAACAGCTCTTTATCCACCATCTTCCTATATCTTCTGTCATTCCTAAAATGCACTTATCATGACCTGTACCTGACATACTATGTTTCTTTATTCTTATAACTGCTGCTTCTTGAGAAAATATCTCCTAGTAATCCTATGTGGCACATGGAAGGTACTCAATAGATATTTGTGGACTGAATAAAACTTCTGAAACAAAATCAAAATATGCAGGAGGTACTATCTTACCGATTATCTTATAAAAGTCCCAGAAGGCAATAACCATAGAAGTTTCTGTAAATAACAGCTCATGTAACTAGGTACTTAATAAGGCAGTTTCATAACAAACCTGATTTCCTCGTTCTTTCAGGGCTTGTGATTTTCATGATGAATTTAACTTGTTTCACTTCTCATTTCAAACAGACTTTTTGGAAGAAGTTTTATAGGCTAATGAAAAGATTACTTTTGTGCTTAGTTTCTAGATGAAACTAAGAATACGTATATCACATCTGAACTAGTGACTACACGGCATTCATTACTCAAGATTGATTCATTAACATTTCTTTGACTAGAAGCAAATTAAGAGAACAACTGTTGTCCTGAGTTCGATCCCCGGTTAAGAGAGAGAGAGAGAGAGAGAGAGAACAACTGTTGACTCTAAAACCAGTTAGCCCAGAAAACTGGTTTAATTCAATTTTAATATAAAGAAATGATAAGAAAAGGAGGAAAAATAAAGAAACAGAAAAATACGATATTCCAACTCACTTAACATCTCCCTTCCCTTTCTTCTTAAAATGTGTTTTAGAGCTGTCTTCACAATTAACACATTAACTAAGAGATTTAAGTTTTATGTAAGAACTCATAAATATAAAACATACTTATAAGTGTAAAATCTCATTCTTTCAGATATTCAAAATAAGTCAAATTGAAATCCAAAGTTTTATAAAATAAGATTTCACCTCTTTTTCTAGTCTTAAAAAGGGATAATTATAGCCTTAGGCTTCAAGTCTATCTGAAACTCCCAAATAGAATCCATTCTGTTTTATACTTCAAGAGGAAAAAAATGGCCTGTTCTCCTTTGGCCACATATTTCAAAGATCTCTTAATCCTGACAATAAAAAGTTCTTAGATTCTACCTTAAATATCTCTTATGTTAATCTATAACTGCTCTCTTATAATTTCTCTTTAAAGAAATTGCAGAATAGCCAGGTACTAAACTTCTGCCATAGCATCAGACATTAATTTCCTTTTCTGGTGTTCTCAAATTAATTAAAACTATATCTGCCTGCCTCATTTCTTTGAGCCATTTATCATACCATGACTTTGCTTCCAGAGAAGTCATCATGGACTACCCAGAACAAAAGATTTTCCTCTGTGCTGCAGGTTCCCCAGCACAAATGCAAAAATAATGCCTGACAACTGTCTCTCTCACAAGAAAAAGAGAAAAAAACGTCTGTCTATACCCATAGTAGAATAAATACTTATGTTAAATAATCAGAAACAATTAAGAGCTGCGCCAACAACCTCCAGGGGGCCAAAGACAGAATGCAAAGTAAAATTAAGATCTATTTCCATACTTTATTTGATATCAGGGAAAACACTTCATGCTGCTCCTTTACCCCCTACTTCAAAGCAGAGCCTAACATACCTCCTCTTCTCCCTGGCTTCCACAGAGGAATCTGCTGCAGTAGATGAGGGTACTGTGACAGCTGTGACCCCATTGGCAGTGCCAGGTGGAGGGCGATTGGTGATCACGCTGAGCGGAGTACTAGCAGAGACACTGTCTGCTGTTTTCTCTGCTGTTGAGTCACCTTGTGATTTGTAAGGAGTCCTGAAATAAAAAAAATACATGAGCAGAAAGAAAATGGTCAGGCATGCAACACAACAAAGGACTGGCTCAGAGAAAGGATGGTTAGAGATAGGTCTAGCTAGAGAATCTTCTTGCTCTCATTTTATTTGTTGGTTCATTAATTCCGAGCTCTTAATCTCAGAATAGTATGACTGCACATTTAGTCTGGCATACTCTGCCTGAGGATTTATATGAGAAATATTTTTGTTGAGATTAAAAACCAAACAAACAAAAATAAGCTATGGCACAAAGCAAGAAAATGACATATGCAAAAGTGCTTTAAATGACTCCTCGTTACAATCTGGCTTCCCTCCACACATGCACACAGAGACAGCGTCTCTCTACACATGAAAAAGGCACTGAGGTCACTTACGATGTCAGTCTCCACCTGTCCCTTAATTCTTGGCAGTGAGAGTCTTTCTGGTAGTCCTCAGCCTAGATCTGATGACCATCTTCTTGGATTATCCATTTGAAAAATACTCTACAACCTCAGTATGCTTAGCTCTCCCTCACCTAGTTTAGCAACTGCAGTCTCTTTCCATTCAAACAAATGCTTCATTTCTACATTCAGAACTCCGTAAGTGAGAAACTGAAACAAAAACCAAATAGGATTCTACATGTAACCCTAACTGCAGACTTTTCAACCGCAAGCTGTATAATTAAACTCATTTATGTGAAAACAAGATCTTTGTTTCTTAACAAAGAGTAAGGAGCAACCATTGGCTCTCCACCCGAAAAGCTATCATTTGTGATGTCACAGCTTGTTGCTGGGGTAACAGAGATCCAAAATTGATACAGTACTCACAGAGATGGGAAAAGCAATGAAAAGCGTGTTAAAAAATCTGTTTTTCACCTGACAGTTATTACCAGAAATGTGTATGTACAAGTAGCTGCAAGCTCGCTTCCAAATAATCGCTAGTAGAATAAAGCATAAAGGAAATAATCAGATCCAAACCCAAACATAGTACCTGCATACAAATATGAAATTGGAATGCTTTTAAAGATAGAAGTAGTACCCAAAACATATAAGCTACTTATCCAGAAGCAACTAATAACTCAGAATGAAATTTTATACTCATTTTCTAATTTAAAAATTGAAGGTAAATAATTTCTCAGATTTATTAGTCTATAAGAAATACTAATAAAATTACCCAGAAACACAGCTACAAAAAATTATCCAAGGCAGGTATGGTGGTGCACACCTATATAATCTCAGGACTTGAGAAGCTGAGGCAGGAAGAACACCACGAGTTTGAGGCCAGCAGGCCAGCGTGGGCTACTTAGGGGGCTACATAGCAAGACCCTGTCTTAGAAAACAAACAAACCAACCAACAAACAAACATGCAGAGCCAGGTGTGGCAGCATGTGCCTATAATCTCAGTTACTTGGAAGGCTAAGCCCAAGAATTCGAGCCCATCCTGGCTACAAAGCAAGACCTCATCTGAAAAAACAAAACAAAACAAAAACAAAAACTTTTATATTAAAACCTTATCTAGGGCTGGGGATTTAGCTCAGTGGTTCCAATGCCTGCCTTGTAAGTGCAAGGTCCCGAGTTTGATCCCCAGTACCAAAAAAAACCAGACACAATAATTTTTAAAAATGGAAACAAAGTCTTTGTAAATAGGGAAGGATGGAGGGGTTGAAGGGAGGGCAGGGGAAGGGGGAAAAAATAAGAACCAAGAGAGTATGTAAAGGTGCATATCTCCAATGATAAATGTCATTATATTGTACACCTAAAATGTACCAATAAAAGGATATACAAATAAATAAAACATCTGAAAAAATTTTTTTATTTAGTTTAACAACATGTTTTGGTCTATCTACAATTTCTTAAAACTGTTGAAATGCAAGAGGTTTTAGGTTTTATTTTACAATAGGTTTTTTACTATTAAAATTTGAAATGTGGTGTAATTTCTTTTACTATGTACTAGAGATCAAACTCAAGGCCTCATAATCGCTAAGCAAGTGCTCGCCTACTGAGCTGTGTTTCCTAGCCTGAAATATACTATGATTTTACAAGCAGATTGTTAGGAGGAGAATAGCATAGACTCCAGATCAGGGATCAAAGGCTGTACACTGGAGTAGAATAAATGTGGAAACACTTGAAATCACATTTAAGCCAATTTAACTCTCTAATCTCTTCATCTATAAAACAGGGATAACAGTGTCCTAACATTCAGAGTTCTTGTGAAAATTAAATAATGTATGTAGAACATCTAACATAGTGCCTGGAAGAAAATATAAGCTCATTAGAAACAAAATAGTGACAAAATAGTTAAGAGCCTGAATGGCCAAATCCAGATTCAGTCCTGCTTGTTTCTCATTAGCAGTGATCCTGGCTGCTGATTAGGCTTTGGGTCTGTCTCCTCATCTATAAGGGAAGATCATATACTGGGGAGTTTTTTTTCTGAGACTATAATAAAATAGCTAATTGCCTACCCCACATCTACTGTCCCTTTTTTCCTTACTAACAAAATCCTCTCATTACTGAGAGCAATAGTGTTATCTATTAAAAATCCACATTTCCAAAGTCTCCCTGAATGCTGGAGGTATTCAAAAGGGAGGAATAATAGAAAACTAGAATTCCTGAGAAAATTCTCAGTTCAGAGGCATCTTCCCTTGCTTGTGCTTCCTGCCTAGAATGTAACCTTATGGCTAGAGCTACAGCAGTTATTTTGGACCATGAAATAAAAGCCCTGAAATAAAGACTGCAGAGCAGCAAGACTAAGAAAAACTGGATCCTTTAATGACTTTGGAGCTACTGTGCAGCCCTGTCTATTTCTGAACTTCCTTAAGTGCAATAAATAAAATTTTTGTCTTATGTGGATTTATTATTATGTGTAACTAACCCAAATCCCAATGTAATTTTTGTATAGTAACCTAATGCCTATCATGCCACAGGATTCAACAAATGAGAGCTGTATTTATTTTTACCCACTTTCAGCTCTTAGCAGTTAATCAAGAACTTCTGTGTGTTTGTTTGTTCATCTATGATGCTAATATTTACCATGTCTACGCAGCTGAATCATTATAAATTTCTACCCAATCACCTGTCATAAGCCTGTCCCTCCTAAGTAACTAGATTATTATAAGAATATAATTAATTTCTACATAATTATACAGTGTTATTAAGAATAAGCCATCACAAATCTATCCTTCCTGGGCAAATTAATGATCCCTACTTGTTTTATAAAGGCAAAGAAACCTAGTAGACGGACAAATATCAATCAAGTACCACCATAACTGGTGTTCTTGCAACAATACTATCATTATAAACATTTTTAAAATTTTCTTTGTGTCAACTGTAGGGACAAGATCCACAAAATCCATACCCCAAAAGCAAAAAGGCATCTGACCACATGAAAAGGATTAAAAACCACAGTCAAGACTGTAGTTAAAGTCCTGCTCTACTTTCACAATGGGTCTCTGCCCATGCTACTCTCAGATGAACTAGGAACAAAGCAGACACTGCTCCCAGAACACAGGTGAGACAAACACAAATCTTTCCCTTCCCACAGCCTTTCCAGAAAAATACTTTCATTGGCTGGGAATCCTCCAAAAGGTGTAACAGGCTTTTGGAACATAAGTTAGCTTTCCTTGTGATTTGGGTTTCTATGTCATCTTCCAAATGACTAAATACATGAGATTTCCACTTATACTCAGTAAAGTTAATATAAGTAAAATATAGAAGTATTTTTAATGTTTAATTTTCTACAACAGGTTTGACCCTTAGTTATCACAACTGGTAAGGATGTTAAGGAGATGAAAGCAGCAATGCTAAGTTGACCCCTGAACACCAAGTACAATGATACATATTCTATTTTATTCAATAAATAATTGTTGATTGACTATTGAAAGCCAAACCAAAGCACCTTCATTAAATTCTGGACATTTTCACAGGAATTCAAACTTGGTTCTAGAGTGACAAAGCCTCTTTGGTTCAAATCCCGTATGTGTTCCCAGAGGCATTAACTTTGATTAATTCAACTCAAATGGCTCCAAGAAGCCTTACCTGCCAAGTTGTACTGATGCAGTAGTGTTTACACTGATTGGTGCAGAGCAAGAAGAGGCATGTTGCCACTGGCTGCCCAGAGAGGTAGATGAACCAATGGTAATGGGTGAGGTAGCAGGAGATGAATTGCGATTGGCTGAAATGTAGGGACTTGTGGGGTCACTACTTCTACCAAATGAAGCACTGCAAAACATCACACAGTCACTTTCTTCAGGACATGCTGTTTACCCACCATTTTCCCAGCACCACCTTCCCACCCAGATTGTGCACTTAAAAGGAATGTAGACCAAAGAGAAGGTATGACGACTGGGAAATGGAGTGATCAACTCCAGCTGGAGCTGGGTCACTGGCAGCAAGCAGGAAATCATCCATCACTCTCTGAAGGATGATCTTTTGGTTAATCACTCAAAGAAGTGAAGGAGGAGAGATGATATGTAACAAGAGAAATCAGGAAAGTGGAATATATGATAAGGTAGAAGCTAAGAAAGGGAAATAATAGGAAATAGAATAATTTTATTAGAAAACAATAATTCCCTACAAGGCAAGGCAAAAAATCATGCAACCCCAAATGTCTACCTGATGCAGAAGTAGCACTGCAAAAGTGAAAGTAAGAACAGAGAATTTGGAGACGTTTTAGAGATTTAAATTAAGAAGTGGAGAAGAGTAAAGAAGCTCTGTGAAATAACGGCCCTACTGACTGCAGTTATTTAGCTTAAAGCAAAAAATGCCTCTGGGAGTACTTAAAGTTTTAAATTGAGAAGGCAATGATGTATGGGCAATAAAAGGCACCTTTCCTTTATTTCAACAAAAGACAGATAAGAACCATCTCAATTGTAGCAAAAAATTTGGGTTAGATTTTTAAAAAATACTTCCTATCATTGTAATGAGATACTTGAGGGAGAGATCAAAATAAACTCCAAGCCTACTCTGGGAAGGAGGTATTTTACTGGGCCATTTGAAATGAATTCCTTATCTGCCTACAGATAAAGAGGTGACATAGAAAATAGAAGGTATGCCAGGGCTTGGCACAGCTGGGGAAAGACAAAGTCCTATTTGTACTTTCTTTTTAAAAAAGATGATAGCATCTAATTTTTCTTCTTGAAAAGATCATAGGATAGGATTTTATAAAATCAAAAAGTACCTTAGGGTTACAGAAGACGAGCTTTGGATATTCTAGGTTTGAAACAAACTGTAGATATTTTCTCAAAAAGTGCTCATATAATTAAGCACACTTTCCACCCTAAATAGAGGCAGCCCTGCCCTCCTCTCTTTACCATAACTTTACCGAACTATGTCTGTTAAACCAAAAACCACTCAACTCATTTGCTGACAGTCTGGGTCATGAAAATCAACTACTTCACCACAAAATAACTCCATGCCTAGAAGTTAAATGGCAGCTTTCTCCTTCCTAGATCTAGAATATTGTTTGCTCATCCTATACTCCACTGAAGGGAATAATAATGTATCTAGGTAAACCAAATCCTTTGCCTTTAAGATAAATAGCTGATAGCCTCATAAAGTCAAAAGCATATGGTTTGCATAATGAAGAGCTAGTAAGATCACTGAACTATACTTGTCTACTTTCAAAGTTGAGCCCTTTCTTTCCTTTTTTTTTTTTTTCGGTACCAGGGATCGAACTCAGGACCTTGCGCTTGCAAGGCAGGCGCGATGCCACTGAGCTAAATCCCTGGCCCAGTTGAGCCCTTTCTTACAGGATATACCTGTAGAACTGAAGAACATTAAAAGGCAATAGTACTTGTTTCTTTTATAGCTTATTATTTCCCATGTTCAAACTATTTGACAAGAGTCTTCCTGTCAAATGGAAATAAGTTTTGATGCTAAACAGCTAATCTGTTCATACAGTCTATGGCCAAAACCTGCTTCTAAGGTAGCCAGCCAACCAGTCATCTAGAAAACCTAGTGACGAAGACATGAAGAGGCAGTTTTGAGGGGGTAAGTGGAAGTGAAGAAAGAATTGAAAATAAGCAATGAAAAACAGATTCTTCCACATCAGCAGCAAAGTTCAAACTAAAACATTAAGCATATCTTTTAGCTTAATGGTTCTGGTGAAGGTGCTTTGCTTGCTGGGTAGTACATGGCAAAGAAAATAATTGCAGAAAAGGGAATACAGATGAGAAAAGAAGGAAACCCATGTACCTTCTCTGCATCAAACTTGCGAGTTTCACATCTTGATGGATCTGAGGGCCATTAAAGTCATAAAAAAAAATAACTCAAGTCCCTAAATTAGTAGGCTTCAATATGAAATGTATTTAATGCAACAGAAAACTGTTCCCACTTCCCACCCCTCACCACCCTACAGTGTCCCCCCTTCCTCCCACAAAACTATAACCTGAGACGGGAACTACTCTAGATTTAGTAAAAGGACAGCCAGCTACTTGGACAAGGGTGTTTTAAATTCAGTCTTGCCCAGAGATTACTAGAAGTCACTTCTGATTGAAGATTTTAATAGGACTGAGAGGATGGAGTATAAAGTCAGGTCTGTGGTGAGAATTTGGAATTAGATTACTTTAATTCAGTTATTAAAAGAACAAAGAAAGTTTAATTTTAAATTAGTCAAGATGTTAATTCCAAGAAATCTAAAAGGAATTCATTTGCTGATTCATTTTTGATATTAAAAGGCATGCAATCATTACCCAGATTTCCACGGCCAGAGTGAAGGAAAATGATCTCCCGCCCCTCTGCACCTGGTACCTTTTCAAGTAGGTTGACACATAGGTGGAAGGAGCAACTGTCTGCGGGGTTTCACTCCCCTTTGTTTCATCCCTCCACAGCTGCCGAGTGTAGGAGCCACTCCTCACCAGATTCACAGCTGACTCTCTGTACAGCATGAAGGAAAACAATCAAAGCACTGATTTCCACTACCCATTTTGTTCATAATATAATACAAGCAGGAAGAGAAGAGCCAGTAGCAAACTATAACAAAGTTAAAGTAGTAGATATATCTTTTGAGTGATTGTATGTTGTGTATACATATTTTTTTTTATGGACAAAGGTTAAGTATTACTGTCTGCTTTCTTCTGTCAACTTCAAAGCCAGCTAATTTCAATGGGTACCAAATTTCTTATATCAAAGCCTTCAGTCTTTTGTAATGAGAAGTCACTTTTGTTCCTTGTTTACAAAGCACCTTGTAATCAGTCCCTAGTAATTGGTTGCTCACAAGAAGAGAAAGGGTTGATGAGAGAGATGCAAAAGGCTGTCACCATGGAAAGAGGTTACTACAGAAGGGGAATGGGATGCCTCTTCAGCATTATAAATGACAAGGCATCCAGGGAGGGGCAGTAGGTGAATTTCAGATCCACGATTGATAACTCAGGGTCTTTGCTGCAAAGTCATGGGTCTCCAGGCTCCACAAGGTTGTCTAGAACTGTTCTCAAACTTTAATGTGCATTTGAATCACCTAGGAAATTCTGTCAAAATGCAGCCTCTGATTCAGCAGTTCTAAGAATGGGCCCGAGGTATTGTGGTTCTAACATGCTCCCAGCTGCTGGCAAGATGGCAGGCTGGACGACAACCTCAAGAAGAAAGGTTCTAGATTAGGTTGTGCCCTGAGATGTAGTAAAACTTCATAATCTCTATGTTCATTTTAACTAATGAGGAAGCTTTAAATTTTATCTACGTACAAATTAGAAGCTGATCAATTCAAGTGTATGATATTTTTGTATTTACTATACGGTAGATAGTACGCTAGGCACTAGAGGTCCTTGAGAAACCAGATAGACAGGCCGGGGATTTAGCTCAGTGGTTCTGCCTCCTGCCTCACAAGCACAAGGTCCCAAGTTTGATCCCTGGTACCAAAAAAAAAATAAGAAAAAGAAACCAGATAGACATAGACCCTACCTTTCTAGAGCCTGCTGTGGACTAAAATTAACCCTCACTCGGAAGGATCAGGGGAGACATCTCTAAGCTATGATCAGAATTTGAAGGATGAAGAATGCAAGCAAGACAATCAGGGCTGGGAGGTATTCTAAGCAAAATGAACAAAAAATTAATAATGTGCTAAGGGCACCTAGGGAAAAACGGCAGAGGGGAATGGCCAGGAGATCACTATGTCAGAAGAACTAAAGGGAACCATCTTTTAGTTTGTATTATGATTACCTGTTCTCCTTTTCTTCGATGTCACTTGTGCTACTGAGCCTTCGGGGTGCTAGAGAACTAAAATAGCTTTTATTTTCTCTTTCCTGTAAATAAAAATAAGTAAAGCATAGTGACATAGCATATATCATTTTAGGTAAAAAAGCGGGACTTAATATACCCACAATAATATTACATCTGGATTCAATAATAATCCCATTTAGAGTAGTATTACACAAATATACTTTCAAAAGCCTATTCCTAATTTTCCTCCATTAAAATACCCTATGTAGGGAAATAATTCTCATGGGGAAAGTCAGATGATCCAAAAATGAAAAGAGTACACAAATTACACAAAGCAGCAGCTCTGCCAAGAGAGAAGAGAAACCTCTGAAAAGCCACAAAGGGCTCTACTCTAATGTTCTTGATGAAATAAGCCTGATTTAGTCTCCAGCATCTTCTCCTGAAATGCAGCTTCCTTTGGGACATGCGAAATAAATATACTGCAGACTTATCCAACCAATAGGCCTCACTTCTTCAAGTAGTCTTAAGAAATGCAGATAAAGACCCTGATGAACACAATCATTAAGTACTGCAAATATGTACCAACAAAAATTCTTTTACAAGATAGAGCAAGAGGCCTATGATTACAAGGAAGACCTGACCCAGAGAAGAGCACCAAGCAAGCCCTACAAAATCTGAAAACAAATTCATCTTAAATGAATACATGGATGAACCATTTGTAGTTGTACTTCTATGAATAAAAAATTACAAGTTTAAAATCTTTAAGTAAATGCTAATGTACCCAAACTTCATTAGGATTCAAAGCCCAACTATGCAACTTTGCTTCTCAACATCAAAGGAGTAAATTTCTGTGACTGGTTCAAAAGCACCATTGGGCCATATCCACTTTTTTCATATCCATTGTTTTGCTTTATGTAAGAGGTTAAATACAATTGAACACAAGGTAAGCCAAAAGAAATCATATTTAAAGCTTATTTTTTTCTGTTTTGCCCAGCTAAATAGCTACCTAAGTTATCAATGTGCCTGTCTCCCTTTAAAGTCTTTGTACTTCCACAATAAACTTAGGGACTAGAAAATACTTTATCTGTTCCCAAGATTGACTTTTCATGAATGTTGTGATTTATATCTAGATGTCTCCCAAGGCCTCATGTGCTCATAGGTGGGGCTTTGGGAGTGATTAGATCATGGGTGTTGATACTGGATCATGGGTATGTGATACTAGATTAGTCTTCTGATTGGCTTAGCATAGTTCTGGGGTGTGGATGATGGACTTACCAAAGAGGAAAGACCCACCCTGGGTGTGGGTGGCACCAACCGATAGGCTTGTAGCCTGGATGGAATAAAAAGGGAAGGAAGAAGGAAGTCTCACTGCTTTTTGCCTGCCATGTCCCTCTGCCATGCCAAGGTCTTGGAGCCAGCTGTCTATGGACTGAAACCTCTACAAACTGTGAGCTAAAATAAACCTTTCCTCCTTAACTTGTGGGTGTTGGGTATTTTGTCCCAGCAACAAGAAAAGTAACTAAGACAATGGAATAAAACTGCCTTGGGATTTCCCCACACCCCACTCAAACCACACCTTATCTTTGTTGTCCAGAAGAGCAGAGATCCGAGGGCTTGAAGAGGAACGGTAGATGGAGGAGCTTCGGTCCCTTAAAGCATCCCTGGAATTGGCCACTTCACTCAGCATGTTGTGGCTGCCAGTTTTTCTGAGTCCCAATCTCCATGAAGAAGGAGATTCATCTTTGGCCTCTTCTGGCTTGTTAAAAAGGCTGGAGGAGAACTACGAAGGGAGAGGCAGAGAAGAGAAAAAAAGAAAAGCCCTAATGATGCTTTCTGTTTCAGCCTAGTTGCCTTTTCCACACTTAAACCAGGTTCAGTGAGGCAACACAAAAGGCAGTACCAAAAGAACAAAACCATGGCAGGCTTTCTGCCAACATGCTCTCTTCACCTGGCAGGCACTAGTCACCCCTCAAGGCTCTGTTTCTCTCTAAGTCAGAAATAGCCTGATTCTTTTCATGGTGCTCCTACCTGACAGACTTGCTCTGAGAAACAAAATGCTATTTGCTCTCCTTATTCTATTAGTACTGACCTGGAGCACCAGGAAGCTGTGTTCTGGAGGGATATCTTCTCCTGCCTTATTGGGTAACAGGAAATAAAATACTTTGCTTCTCTAGGTCTCAACATGTTCATCTGTAAACTGGTGTTAATGAGCTTAATTCCTCCCTAGAATATGTGGAATCTGAGAAAACAAGATAAGCTAACATATAAACATGTCCGAAGGTACTATATGGGATAAGTTGATTTACGTTAATGCTAATAAAAAATACTAGCAGCCACTCCACACAAATTGTAATTGCTAATCTCAAGAAAAAAAAACCTTATCTGATGTTGGGTAGCAGTTCTAAGACCTTTAGATTTCACTGAACACAAAGCTTAAGAAAAAAATTTAGAAGTCAAGGTCATCTTTTTTTATTATGCCTACAGAGAACATTTCCCAAAAAGATGAACAACATACCACCACAGTAACTGCATTAGAAAGAATAATATCAGAAAAGAAAGCTTCAGGGCTGGGAGTATTGCACAGAGGTAGAGCATTGGCCTAATATATGCAAGGACCTGGGTTAAATCCCCAGCACAGAAGAAAGAGAGAGGGAGGGAGAAGGGAGGAAACCAGCTAGCTAGGTAGCTAGCTAGCTTGCTTTGTGGAACGTTTACAGTGTCTTTAATTGTAAACTAGGGAAACATCATAAACTAGCATTAGCCCAAGGACCACTCTGTGGTATAATTGTTCTTTGAAATGTCAACCAGCAAACAGCCCTTTCATAGTGTGCGGGGACCTTTGCAAGAAGGCTTCAGTTGTTCTCCAATGGCAGCCATCTCCCCTGCCTGGTACAGTGAAAACACTGTAAACTGTTACATCACTCTCTCCAAGTCACAGATTCTTCTCATCAAGCATCAGAATATAGACACTTATGTGCTCCTTCCCTTTTATAAGATACCTGATTCCAAGAGGAAGCTTTTCCTCTTTCCCAGTATTATTCTGACAAAGTGGAATAATTATTGTGTGTGTGTGCCTATATTTTTAAAATTTAGTATTTTTTTTAAAAAAATAGGAAGTCTTGTCATATCTGGAAGTAGTGGCGGTATATGAGGTCTGAGAAAATGACCACATATCAGCCAAGGACTGCATTCTACCTGAAATCTGCTCAGTGATTTACAACAATGCTTCTAGGAATAAACAAGTAACCAGTAACTTGGTCCCTCATTTCCACAAGGATGCCATTAGACCATCTTTCCAATTCACAAGGAACTTAGAAGATCAAGTTAATGTCCCTAAAATTTAACACCTCTAAAATTGGTGCACTTTTCAACAACTTCATTCCAAAGAATTCAGATCTGTTTTTAACATCAAAACTAATTTTATACTTTGAGGAGGTAGGGTCTCCTTCGAACTTTGTCTCGCTGGCCTACAGGTTCTCTGAGGCCTGCATAAAGCTGGAGCAGGAAGTGCCTCTGGTATTTCAACAAGTTCTTTCTATTTCTGCCCTCTAACCATCAAAGTATAAAGACTACTCATGAAAGTAAAGAGTTAATAAGAAGTTGAAAGAGGAGAATAGTCATCAAAACAGGGCCGGGGATTTAGCTCAGTGGTTCCGCTGCCTGCCTCACAAGCCTAAGGACCTGAGTTCGATCCCTGGTACCAAAAAAAAAAATAGTCATCAAAACAATTTAATCTAGATTCTGTATCTTAAACTTTACACATAGTTATCTTAACTTCAGAAAGGAGGAAAACAGGCAAATGACAAAATTTCTTTGGTCCCAGACTACGCTACCACCCTATGTGGTCTTAACACATTTGTGGTCAAATTATTTGGTGATGGTTTTATAAGGCTTGAGGGGCAATGTTATGGACTGAATGTTTGTGCCCCTCCAAAGTTCAGATGTTGAAGCTCTAATGCACAGTGTGACTTATTTGGAGAAGGGACCTATGAAGAGCTATGTGATAAAAGTTATACAAGGTCAACAGGGTGGGGCTCTAAATCAACAAGTCTGGTACCCTTAAAAGCAGAGCTTTTTTTGAAGAGGCACTTGCATCTACCATGGCAGGAGGCAGCAAGAAGGTGCCCTCTTCAAGCCAGGAGGAGAGCCCTTGTGAAGAACTGAATCCACCAGTGCATAGACTGTGACTTCCCAGCCTCCAGAACTGGATGCACAATATGTGCTATTTTGTTATGAAACAAACTAAGACAGGTCAGAATATATCTTTATTATTTTACAAGAAGGTGTCATTGAGGCCTTTCTAAATGTGTAATTGCACTAGGAAGAAATATAATACCCAAATTAATTGCAGAGTACTCACTCGCCTAGCAGAAGAGGCAGAGAAGGTATTCTGAGCTGGTGCTGGTATCTGCTCTGTGAATCTACTCTTGCTTTCAGAACTGGAATGATTGACAGTGGCTTCAGGTTTTTTATCTGTTAAGACAACAGAGGCAATAAGTAGAAGTATGAAAATCTTACTTTTGTGTAGCGTGTCTTTTACAGCTAAAAGAAAAGGTTTTCCCATTATCAAAACAGATTAACGGGGCCATGCAATACCTTAACTCAAACTAGAATGAACTCCAGAAACTGTGGGCAGAAGAAAACAAACTCAATGGTTTTCCCATCTTGGTAGGCCCCAAATCCAATTTTCAGATGAAAACAGGGAACTGTCTCTACATTGTTAGTTATATATAAAATTCATTAATGACTACTTTTGAAGAATCAATCCATTCTGTGTTTTGGGAGAGCTGGGCAAGAATGATAGAAAAAAACAGTACGACAGACCTTGCTTTCATGGCAATTACAATTAAGAGAAAGAGGTAAGACACATTAAAATAATAACAATAACACATGATCATATATACTTCAGATATTAAATTGGCTGATTCTGATTAACAAGTGCTGTAAGATTTCAAAAAGGAGGCAGATCCTGTGAGGTAGGCAACAATAAGGAGAGCTGCTACACAGTTAAGTGCTCTACAGAAAAACAAAACCATGGAGGGAGCTGGAAGAAAATACCAACTGGCAGGTGAGGAGGAAGAAAGGGCATGAATAATGGCTCAGAAATCAAAATACATACAACTGTTGGTCAGTGATGGGGCCAGCATAATCCAAATAATGAGAATTCTCAGGGCTACAACAGGAAATAAAGGTAGTAAAGTTTATAAAAGATGCAGGTTGAACTACAAAACCAAACCAAAGTCACATAACATAAATAGGAGTAGTAGTCCAACTCAGGGGGTCACCAATCAAAAAGCTGTCTATCTTGCTTATTACTGCACCCTAAATAACTAGCACAGTGCCTGCACCTAGTGGGTACTGGTTCTGGTCTATGTACTCTGGAAGCAGAGCCCCGGAGTTATCATGAATTACGTGACAATCCTAAGCCACATCCTGGGTGATGCTGGGCAAGATACCTATCACATTTCAATGTCTCTTTTCTCACATATTAATCAGAGATTTTGATTGTCTTATGAGAATTGGTATAAAGATTAGAAATGTTTTTAAATTTGCATAGATAACTGGTTACAGCAAGTCTCTTGTGTTATTATTGCTGTTATTTTTGTAGTTATTGTGAATATTCAAAGTATTCTTTCTTTTTTTAATTTTTATTTTTTCCAGTACTGGGGATCGAACTCAGGACCTTGTGCTTGCCAGGCAGGCGCAGTGCCACTGAGCTACATCCCCAGCCATCAAGGTGTTCTTGAAATAGTGTTGGAATATCTGTAGACTCAGGAAATCCAGCTTACTACTCAAGTAAGAAGAGAAGAGTCTTGGCTTTTTGGCTAAGATCAAGTGAAGAAATCCAGTTTACTACTCAAGTGTGGTAGATTATTACAATGACAGCTCCCAACAAACCACGCCTCCCTGAATCTATACCATTGTGAAGTGTCTCTTCACAATGACTCTGGGCTTGGCCAGGTGACTTACTAAGGCCAGTGGAACATTAGCACACGTGATACAATTAGAAGCTTGCAAAGTGCTTGTACACTGAGATCTGCCTTCTCTGACTGCTTCTGGAATTCAGCTGCCACATGAAGAAGTAGGAGCTAGCCTGCTTGATGACAGAAGACACATGGCCCACTTGCCCTAAATATCCTACCCAACTACCAGAAGGTGAGTAATGCCATTCAGCTCCAGCCATCCCCTCAACTGATTTATCAAGCAACCATCCAAACATAGATGAGCCCAGTGTTACCATGAGGAGGAAACACAAGCCATCTGGCTGAGGCCTTCCCAAATTGCCAATCTATAGAATTAGGTGCACATGAAGAGTTCTCTTAAGCCACTAAGTTTGGGGAAAGATTATCATGCAGCAATAGACAACTGATACACTAAATATTTAAGTCAAATAAATAAAAAGGGAAAACAAGTTCTAATCAAAAATGCTTACATGACCTCAAAATATAATTCATATTCTTTACTACAAAATTTATATGTAAGAAACATGAAAAGTATCCATTTTATGAAGTTGTATCTGTGGATCTTTAAAAATGAGATAAATAATCCAACGAATATTTGTTCAGTACATACATATGTGACAGGCAACACCTGGAAAGGTTTGGGTATAACTCACTTCCTTGCACTTTTCCAATTTATTTACTGAGCACCTACCATATGGAGGCCCTGCGCTAGGACTATGGCACACAGAATGACGAACAAGACACATAATACCTTCACATGCTTCCATGACTTGCCAGTGGGGGAAAAGCAGAGGAATGAGAAAAGACAGAAATTATTCAAAAATTAAGAAGCATGAAAAAAATAATATAAAACAATTTCAAACAAGTAGCTACAGGAATCAGAGGAGGGGGAAAACCTCCAAGCATCTATACGGTGAGGCTTTGTAAGAGAAGCTGACTTGAGCTGGGCTGTGGGCATGAATAAAGTTTTGCTTGGCAGAGAATGACAGAAATGAATAGGGACGCTTACTGAAACCATCTGGCTTCTGCCCACACCCGGCTTCTGAAACTGCTCTCTAGGATTACGAGTAACTTCCTAATTGCTGAATCATCCTTGAGCTCCCTTCTCACCGCTGCCCTGGACTTTCTGAGGCAGAAATGCATATCCTGGTTTTTGTCAAGCTCTCTGATCATACCTTCTTTACCTCCTACACTGATTCACTTCACTTCCTAAACACAGTATGCCCAAGATTCTTTTTCATTTCTCTTTTCTCTGCAACCTCTCCCTTGGCGATCTCACCCTTCTCCACAGTTTTACTTTCCACTTTTTACCCAGATAATCTCCACTGGTACCCTACTATTCTGAGAAGTCCTAGATCAAAGTCAAGATCTCAGGCACACCTCAGGCTAGCTATGAAACCTAACTCACCTAACCTCCTACAGTGTCAATTTCCCATTCTAAAAGGGGTAATAATGATAAATACCCCAGAGTGTGGTTATGAGAGTTAAATAAAAATGTTTAAGTGCATTGCAAAATGAAAAGCACTATACAGGTATAAAGTTTTACTACAATTCCCTGAACTAGATATAATCTTTCTTGTTCATGATACCACTGATGGCATTTATCTCATTCACACAACATGTATTTTATATACATAAATGCCTTTCTATCCTCTATTAGATATATTCAACAACAAAAAACATTTAATGAATGAGAATGTCTGTCATATGCCAGGCAATGTGCTGAGACTTGGAAGTATAATAAACCCAGTGTTCCAGAGCAATGAGCCTCAGATTGAGACATGAAGGAGGACAGTGTTCTCCCATGATTGAGAGAAACTGTGTCAGCAATGTCAGACCTCATCAGAAGCTGGGGCTCAGGAAACAGAGTTAAGTATCTTCTTATGGGTAGGCCAGCTATGTCAGAGTTCAGAGAAGAACTCAGACTCCATTATAAACTTAATGTGCAATACTTCTCCTCTAACTTGGTCTTGTTATTGACACAAATCTGAAGGGATATTTTGCCAGCAAGTGTAGGGCATATGTGCTACAAAACCTCAGCTTATCATTACTTTCCATTCACCTATGAGAACCATTCTGTTACAGTTGAAAATCTATTTAGTAACTTGTGGTATGTATTTCTCAGTGTTCATCTGACTTGTATGTCAAAACCTATGGGCTATTTTACAGTGTGTTGGTCTGACCACATTCAGTGTTCAGTACTTTGCTCTCACTGTTAAGGTTTCTGTCCTGTCAAATAGTAAACTTAAGAAGCTTCATATGATACAGTCAGTCCTTCATATCTGTGGGTTCCACATCCATGGATTCAACTAACCACAGATTGAAAATATTCAGAAAAAAATGTATCAGTACAGAACATGTATAGATGATTTTACTTTTCATTATTACTTAAACAATAACTTTAACAGCTATTTACACAGTATTTACATTGCATTAGTTATTACAAATAACCTAGATATGATTTAAATTTTACAGGAACATGTGCATAGGTTATGTGCAAATACTATGCCATTTTATCTAAAGGACTTGAGCATCTAAGGATTTGGGTATCTGAGGGGGCTCCTGAAACTAATCTTTCATGGATACAGGACAACTGTATATGCTATCGATAAGAGTATTAAAGGTTAGTGTGATTTTGTTCCTCTCTCAATCCTCTACTCCAGAACTAAAGGAACTTTACATGAAGAGTAGGGGAGTAAAAGGAGCAGAAGAAAAAAGACTAAGAAGAAAAAAGAGATTTTAGGATCCTATTTAGGGAACCAGACTAACCCAAGAACTCAATTCCAATTTTCACCAGTTTGTTACAAGTTTTTGGACCAAAAGTAACTTTACATGATCTCTGCCTCTCAGCATTCTGATTTTTTAGAATGTAGTCACTATGCCATCTCCCAGTCCAAGTCAGGATATCTGACTCCCTCACACAAGAATTCTCTGTGCCACTTATCATATGGCTACCTAGGAACTTGCAGATATGGTCTAACATAGTTTACAGCTTTTACAGCCAAGTTATCATTAGCAATTTAGAAAGTTATCCTTGAAAACTGAACTTTTTCTTTTTGGTACCGGGGATCAAACTTAGGACCTTGTGCTTGCGAGTCAGGTGCAGTGCCGCTAAGCTACAGCCCCAGCCTGGAAACTGAACTTTGAGCTCTTTCAGGAGCCCTTTGAGGCCGGGCCAGCTCACTAATAAGCAGTGAAAATGGAAGATCTTTGCTGTGAACATCTTTGCATTACCTGGCTCCTTCTCTGTCTCTGACTCAGAAGCTTCATCTTCACCTTCCTCTTCCTCTGAACTTGAGCTACTGGATTCTTTGTTTTCTTCCTCCATTTCTTGGGATTTGAGTGTCTCTTCCTCATAGAGCATCTTCTCTTTGCTAAATTAAAGATACAATTGAATTCAAGTCAGAAGTGATAAGCCACCCAGGTTCAATGACAGTCAGCTATAGTATAGGAAACATCTACAAAGCTCTATGTAGAAGCAATAGCAGAAACATATTCAAATCCTCTTTAATATCTATGTGTTATTCTGTACCCTTGGTTTTTTTCAGATTAAGGTTTAGTACTGACTTCAGGGTAATACTCAAGACAGACTTGGTAACCCATCACAGTAATCCCATCTATTTGGAAGACTGAGCCGGGCAGATTGTGAGTTTGAGGCCAGCGTGGGAAATTTAGCAACTCAGCCAGACTGTCTCAGAATATAAAAGGGCTGGGGATGCAACTCAATGTGAAGGCCTTGGGTTTAATCCTTAATACCTCCTCCCATCACACACACACACACACACACACACACACACACACACACACACACACACACAATATGACTGAAAGAGATAGAGCCTGTTTAACATACAGCAAAAAGAAAACCACGAATTGGAATGTTGATGGGACAGATAAATATTTTTGAAAATCATTCAATAAATGTTTACTGAGTACTTGTGATTGCCAGCAATCACGCTATGCACTGATACAATAGTAAACGAAACAGACATGGTTCCTGAGCTTATGGAAAGTACAACGTAGTAAAGGGAGCAGAAGAGACTAAGAACCCCCATGGTAGGACAGAAGAAATGCTGCATGCATACAGTCTCCCTTAATTTCTAAATTTAAATCATATTCATTCATTTCTGTGTTTTTCCCTCCCATATCAATGCCAGTTCCTTGCCTACAAACTTTCCCACATGTTTGAAGATCATTTGGCTTAACTCAAACACAGTTTCTTCATTTTATAAATTCTTAAATATGTCTTCCCCACATAGCCAAGCTCATCCAGCCTTCAAGCCTAAGCATCTTACTTCTTAAAGAGTCCACTCTGCAACTTGTTGTTCAGGTCTGATTCGATAAGTTTATTCCGTGTTTCCTTTTCATTTCGAAGCTAGAAATTGTGAAAACAGAGAAAAGGGAAGAAGTTGACTACTGGTGAAAAATCAGCAGTACTGAGAAGGACCAAACTGGTGCCATCATTATGAAGAGGACCAACAGAAAACAGGGGTAGGGGAAACTGAAGAAAAGAGAATCACATCAATTGAGTCTCCTTAGAAGAAAAATCCCCGTCCAAGGTAGAAGAGAAAAGCCACAGTGCTGGAGCATTGAGAAAACTGCCTGATTCAAATACTCAAGTTGAATCTTGCAAGAAAAATCCTAGCTTCTGAAGGCTACAAAGCCAGCGGGACTTTGGAAAGAATTTGGTATGATCCATACAGTGAAAGAAGCTGTAGATAGTTCTAAAGAAAACACAGATACCAAATGGGAAATAAGCCCTTAGAGAAAACAGTCTAATATTTAGATACATGCTCTAGGCAAAATGTATTTATATTCCTAGAGTCTAAAGATGCAGGAGACAAAGATAAGTACCATTCCTATTAATGTAGGAATGTTATTTAGCGGGCCGGGGATTTAGCACAGCGGTTCCGCCACCTGCCTCACAAGCGCAAGGTCCCGAGGTTCAATCACTGGTGCCAAAAAAAAAAAAAGTTATTTAGTAAAGGTGTTATTTACATTAAAAACTATGCTAGGGAAATAATATATAGGAACTCTACTATTTTCATAACTTCTACATGAGTCTAAAAATTATTTCAAAATAAAAATTTTTTAAAAGCACAAACAAAAAAACTGTATAAAGTATATATCTTGAATTAGGAAGGCTGCTACTGTTTTATAAAACTACTATCATAATACTGCATTTGGAAAGCCTCAGCTTTCAGTAATTCCTAACTGTTTAATAAAGACTACAAAATGAGCTACAGTTATTGTCAGATTTTTGTATACGACTTTCTCATTGAGTCTAGAAGTACCAAGAATCTCTGCTTTACTATTCAGGTACAATGCGAAGCACCCAAGGTTAGAGATGGTAGATTTTTCCCATCATGAACTTTATAGTTCTCTGATTCAGAACCGTCCTATATCCCACATTTGTTCCAAACTTAAGTTCACACAACTTGTGCCACGGCACATGGAAAGAAAAAAACAAAGGAAAGCCAGCAATTTTTTTTTTGTCCTATCCCATGGTCGAATTTTATTCTCCTCACTCAAATTATTCATCCTTTTTATGAGTAGAAAATGTGACTTATTCACTCTTCATCTATATATTGGGAGGTTGTTTTTCATTCTACAGTCTGTACATGGGTATCACTTTACATAGGTCTCCCACAGAGCTCTAAGCAAAACAGCACATGCAGTAAGACAATAAAAGATTTAAAACGAGGAGAGAGAAGAGGAACTCTGGATGGTTCATGAATCTGGAATGAGTATGAATTACTGACTAATAACAAATGACAAATTTTAGTACTGTTTGTTTATTCCTCTTTCCAGCCAATGTACTTTCAATAAAAATATCCTTTTAGTCAACAAGAAAATGAAAAAAGCTATGATGTCCTTTATTCTGGTATTTCCTATTTGGAAAAAAATTCTGATTTGAACATACTCATTTTCTAGAACTCAAGGGTTATTACTAGTTTTTGCTGTTGTTAGGCTGCTTGAAGGCTTGCTTATAATATGCAAACTTTAATAACATGGTTTCTAGGGCCGGGGATTTAGCTCAGTGGTTTCGCTGCCTGCTGTGCAAGCGCAAGGACCCGAGTTCAATCACCGGTACAAAAAAAAAAAACATAACATGGTTTCTGGGATGCTTCCTTTTAATTGATGGCTAATAGTTCCTGAATGAAATAACTAGCATGTCTGGTATGAAGATATATCCAATTCAGCTCTCAGCAAACATAACTAAAGCAAGTGACTAAGAAATCCAGTACAGGATGCAAATTTCTAGAAAAATTTTTAAAGCATCAAAACCACTCACCACATTCTGCTTCTTCTGAAGCATCTCCAAGTGTTCCACGAGACCCTCATCAGCCACATCAAATGGTGTCTGGCCCTGGTGGAGAAAGGGGGTACCATGACTGATGGAAAACAAAAGTAGTGGTCACATGACTTTATCAGGGATTCCTCAATATTTACTTTCTCCCTTTGACTCTACTGATACAGGCTGAACAGCCTTCATCCAGAATGATTAGAATTAGAGTGTCTTGCATTTTTTCAGATTTTGGAATTTCTGCATACATATAATAAGATATCTGGACAACAGGACTGAAGTTTAAACTGAAAATTCATTTATGTTTCACATACACCTTATGTAAATAGACTGAAGGTTGTTTCATACAATATTTTAAGTATTTTTGTTCTCATAGTGTAGACTTGAGTCATTATGTCTACCCTCAAAAGTTTCAGATTTTGGAGCATTTCCAATTTCAGATTAGAAGCTCTACTTGTAGCTGCTTTACTAATTACAAGAAACAGCAAACCCTTTAAATGTAGTTTTATATTGTGTGAAATAGTACTGAGGAAATTGCCATCATGAGCAATTAAATGCTTATTGCCTCCTGGCAAATAATCAAGGGGAATCCCTCCTACACCTATTGTAATTGTGTGTGTGCTGGGGATAAAACCTAGGGCCTCACCCATGGTAAGCAAGTGCTCTTTCACAGAGCTATACCTCTAGGCCTTTTCAGGGGGACAGAGTCTTGCTAAGTTGCTCAGGCTGGCCTCTAACTTCAGATTCTCCTGCCCCAGCCTCCCAGGTAGCTGAGATCATAGACATTCATCATCATACTCAATTCTAAAATGGTCCTAGTTGCAATAATAAATTCAGTAAGGGACCTTAACCCTAAGAGGGAGACTCAGGACTCGTGGGCACTAAAGATTACATCACAGGAATCACCTGTACATGACAGCAGGACAGATAAGGAGGTTACCTCCTTAGGGAGCACCATTCTTAGGGTTCAGGACAGATGCAAGGCAGATAAGAACATCTACTAATTAAAAGACCATGTCTCTGGATTCCTGGAAAATCAAGACATAGGGACAGGATTTTAAGGGCTTCTAAATTGCTTGAACTGACTTTGAAACTCAAGGATCTTTGTTGTTATAACCTTTTCTAATGACTTAATGTGAATAAAATTCATCTGTCAAAAGACTGAATTGAAAAATAAAATCTTTCATATCTCACTATAGACAACAACCGTCAATTTCTCAAAACTCATTTTTTATCAAGGACAAATATCTTTTTTTTATCCTATTTGTTTGTTTTAGGGGCTTAAACATAGATAAAATCATGACTAGGTTAGTGGAATTTTATTTTACATAGCAAACTTGTCTTCCTGTTAATAGCAGAGGTGGGGCAAGGTGGTAGAAGACAATGCATAGTTACCAGTGATGTATAGTTCCCCACAGCAATCATCTGCCATTAAACAGAGACTTCAGGTCTTTTGTTCTAGAGACACAGCCACAATCTCACTGCCCTCTTAGAAGTGCAGGCTCACTAACCAGTTTGTTGCAGATATCCATGTCACAGAGTGCTTCTGCCAGGATGGAGCAAGCCTCCTTCACTCCCCAGTGTGCAGCAGCATGGAGGGGTGTCCAGCCATCATGATCCTGAACATTGAGTTCATAGCCAGCCTGAATTAAAAGTCTAAGAAGAAAACCCCAAATAATATACTTATCTCCTTGATTTTATAGTTTTTGTCTTGCCAAATAAGCTATTGCCCAATTGATATTTAAGATATTTACTGCTGCCTTTTAAGGCATAGGTGCAGTTTCATAATTACTACTTTGAGCTCCAATCATACATCATCTTTACCAATACCCTCCAAAAGGACATGCAACATGGTACTTCCTACACATGTCCATGTTATACTGTAAAATGGGAGTGTATGGACAGCTGTATACCTGAGATTAACCAAAGCCTAATCCAACTTGCCAAAGCACACAACTCCATCATAGGATGTTTTCCATTTTCCAATGCAGGGAGAAATTAAAATGAATGACTCAAAATAAAATGAAGACTCAAATTTTCGGGGAATTTTCCCAACTAGCTTTCTGGTTAATCTTTGTAAGATGTATGTTTATTATGGAATTTCAAACCTCCAAGTCTGCAAATGAATCTGCAGAGGGGTCTTGATAACTATAAAGCTATAATCTAATTTGCACCCACATTATCCAAGAGGAAAGATATGATTCCTAAAGTCCCAAGTCTCTAGAAACCTTTCAAGAATTGTGCAAATGGGCCAGGGATTTAGCTCAGTGGCGCTGCACCTGCCTTGCAAGCACAAGGGCCTGAGTTCAATCCTAGGTACTGGGGGAAAAAAAATTGTGCAAGTGTGAATGTCAAGCTCAGCAGAAGTAGAGTTCAACACACTGCCACATCTACTAGAAATCCCAAATTAAATGGAATATAAAGGACTGGAAGACTCCAGCAGCAAGTACACTTACAGTGCCTTTAGCAACTGATGTATTTGAGAAAGCCTGTCAACATTAAGCACCAAGAGCCACACAAACCATGTATAGATTCAAGAAAAAAAAGAATAGATAAAGTAGTAGAGTCCAAATCCCTCATGTGAGTTTGACCATCCTATTCCAGGTGGACAATGCACACTCAAGGTCTATAGAATTGATGTAATGAGCCCAAAAAATTACCTGTTAAAAAGTACCAAAATGATCACAAGTCTGTCCTATATTACAGGTCACAAGATGAAGAGGTTGTAAGGGAATTAATGACAAATTCAGAATGAAAAGAGGTACTGAAAGCTCACTTGAAGCCCATTATACCGCAAATCTGTTTCATATCATACACGTCAATGAGAAGCTACAGGGATAGCAGGAGAGAGGTAGACTACCCATGGGGGAATATCTGCAATATGTGAGGAAAAAACTGCATGATCAGGGGGGAAACCAACAAAAAAGGAAAAATCATAGCAGAAAATCTAATTTACCCTCTGCTTCCAAAATTCATCTCTTCTTGTCCCAGAAAACCAAAACTGCTTCATGTAAATGGACAATACCTGAGGACTTCAGAGTAGCCCTTGGCAGCAGCCACATGGAGGGCTGTGGCCCCTGAGCGAGCCTGCCTCACATCTTCTATTTTCCCACTGTTGAGCCACTGGCGGGCATCCTGTAACATCTGCTGCTCTTCTTCCTTTCTTGACTGCTCTAGATCAACTCCTACAGAAGCCAGACACCAGACAGCCAGCATTATTAAAGTTCCACTTAAGCCTCATAGGATTATTTCCTTATATTTAAAACATGTCATAAATATAACCACAAATAACAGTTTGGTCATCAAGTTGGGCATTATCCAATTTAGAAGAGCAATGAGATTTGTATACACATTAATACTCTTAGCAAAGTTAAATTATCAGGCGAAATATGTGATGCAGTCCCAAGAAGGGAACACACCTAAAACTGTTTCCAACAGAACATAAAAATCACAGGGAGAAAATATTTTACTTTATAATATCTGCACAAAGCTATAAACTTCAAAGTCCTTTTACATGTAAAATGATTTTAGTTTCCCAACAATGCTCTGAGGTAAATAGAATAGATACTATGATCCTCATTTGCCAGATGAGAAAATAAACAGAAAGGTTGGAGCCTTGCTCAAAACCACAAAACATATCAGCACAGACCTGCCACTAGAACTCTGGTATCCTTGGTCCTTGTCTGCTTTTCCTTTCTAGTCACTATACCATATAATGATGGTATCAAAAATCTTGGTTTCAGATACGATATACTTTAAAAAACAAACTACCTCCGAAGCTTTTTTCTACATGTAGGAAAATACACTGATCTGAAAGCTATATACAGTAATCTAGAAATGAATAGGTGATCCACAACTTAAAAACCAGTCTTCTTTCAGGGGGATATAAATTGTTTCCCTTAAAAGCATCATGGAAGCTGGATGTGGTGGTGCATGCCTATAATGCCCAGATACTCAGAAGGCTGAGGCAAGAAGAATGTAAACTTAAGGACAGTCTAGGCAACTTGGTGAGTTTCTGTCTCAAATTAAAATTGTATAAAAGGGCTGAGGATGTAGCTCAGTAGTAGAGTAGTTGCCTAGTATGTGCAAGGCCCTGGATAAAATCTCTTACTGGGGCAAAAAAAAAAAAAAAAAGCATTATGGAGAGACTCTGAGAGTTCCTCCCCTTAGCCAATAACTTTCCAATATCTATGCCAGTGAAGGGGGGCCAAAGTGGGAGCATTCCTCATTATATAATGAAATGTCCCAAACACAAAGCACACCCACTCAAAGAGTATTCATACCCATTAGCTGTCTTTATCAATATTTGATCTACTCCCTCCCAGCTTTTAAATAAGAACCTATGGATTATCTGTCTGATCTGGGGAACAAATGAGATGAAGAAGAAATCTACCTAAAAACAAATCAGAACTCTACACACTGCAGAGTTAGCAGTGCTGCCAAGTTAGGCATACGTATGAATACTTGCTCTAGTACAGCATGTACTTTAACCGAACAGTCAGCCATCAAAACAGAAAAGGTAGATTCTCAAACCAAAACCATTTTTTTTTGGTACCGGAGATCGAACTCGCATCCTTGCACTTGCAGGGCAGGTGGCGGAACCACTGAGCTAAATCCCTCACCCACCAAAACCATTTTTAAAAACTAGTTTAAAAAATATGATTTGTAAACTGCAAAACATATTGCAGGTGATGAAACTAAGTGAAACAAGAAGTTAAACCAAGCACAAAAGTCTCCAATTCAATAGAGCGCACACACACACAAAACTATATACAGAAGGCAGCAAAAACGACAGTTGTTGACATTATTTTAAGGTAAGCTCCATGTGCTTTCTATAAAGGGCCAGATATTAAATATTTTCAAATTTGCCAGTCATCTGATCTATCAGAACTACTCAACTCTGCTGCTGTAACACAAAAGCAGCTTTGGCTAATATGTGAACAAATGGGCATGGCCAGATTTGGCCCTGAGTATGCCAAAGAATCATATCCAGGAAGGCCACTGGAGCTAAATCTTTTGAGACAAACTACAGATTGTGGGTAAGATTGTTTAACAGTGCCCTCCCCACCATGTCACTGCAACTCATGTCCAGAGTTCTGTGTTGGTTCCAGCAGAATTCCAAAGACCTATCTTCCCTGCTTTCTTCTTAGTGTTAATCAGCATTTATAATTGAAAGAGCCCAGGGGCCTCCGGTAAGAGAACCAACCCTCCTCTATTCCCTGAAATTAATTCTTCTGAAACTACAAAGTAAGACTAAGCATTTCTAGGGCCAGGGGGTTAGCTCAGTGGTTTCACCAACTGCCTCGCAAGCACAAGGTCCTGAGTTTGAGCCCCGGTACAAAAAAAAAAAAGAATAAGCATTTCTAGAGTATATTCTATAAATTTCATTCTTCACCATAACAAACTATCGCAATAATTTTCATGGTTAGTAAGGTTAAAGGTCACTTCAGAGGTTACAATAAGTATATTTATAAACACCACTTTTAGTTTCCTTAAAAAAAAAAGATACAAAGTCACAAAATGAATTAATGAATGTGATCATGCCATAGCCCATTTTTTCTTTGGACTCTGCAATGTGTACCAATCCATAATGTGCACACAGTAAGGACTGTGGACATCCCTCATCAGGTCACTTTTAACTATATAACTGGGCATCCAACCTCAGAATGGCAGTTGGTGCATTCCTGTGTGAGTTACTAAAAGGACAAGTGATGTTGGTAACTGATAATGAACACTGTGCAGACAATCAGGTCTACACAGTGAGAGGACTGTATCCTACGAGGGGCGGTATGAGAGTCTCCCCTAGCCCTGCCTATTTCCCAGGTTACCTTGCTTCTTCACTTGCTCCAGAAGAAGATCCTTCATAGCTGGCTCTTCTGCAAGGTCAGAGGGGACCTCACCTTCACTGTTCACCATACCCACATTTGCTCCATGGTTAATGAAGTACCTGTGCAACAAGACCCAGGATAAATATTATCTCTCAATTTAATACCAATTTATACTTGTACATCTGAAATTCACTGTGGAGCAGGGCCTATCCAGAGATTTAAATATGGTTTTAGTTAATTTAGTTAATTTCCAGTCCCATTAACCTTTAATGATTAGGACGAGAAGTTTCTCTAATTCCTGACAAAAGAAATGTCAACCACAAAATTTCTTTCATATTTGCATTCCTAACCCCTATACTTTCACTTCCAGTGGATAGCAAGACACTTTCTAAAGCCCATAAGGAAGGCATATGACTCTTAAAACTCACCTCCCAGCCCTGAGGCCCAAGGTTTTAAAATGGACTTACTGCACTTGGGATAACAGGAACAAAAGCAAGCCCCCAGAAACTATGTAAATAAGTAATTCTCATGAAAAGTTCCCAGTGCCACATTGAAGTTTATTAAGTAGTGTTCTGGGTGTAAAAAAGAAGACTAAAGTATGCATTAAAGTTTACATGAATCCTCCTAAATTATACCACAAAAACTCTCCCTTCAATGGCCATCTACATGAAAATTTCTGCACTCTGCATGAAAACTTCTGTACTCTTAGAGGAAATAAATCATTGAAGAAACATTAAAACGCTAGCTAGGTTCTAAATCCACATAGAATACTTGATCCTGAAGAAGAATGAGGTGATAATTTCAATGTCTCTCATGGATCCCTTTTTATTTTCAAAGTACTATCACAAAAAATTATATCGCAAGTCTTAGGCAAGATTATGAAGTAAGCAATATGGGAACTATTACCCCCCACCTACATATTTTAAGAAATTAAGGATAATACATAGTAAGTAATTTGCTCAAAATCACATAGCTGACAAATGGCAAAGGCTATTGCCAGTCTTTTGAATTCAAGTCTAGTTCACCTTTTCTCTAGATCAAACCATTTCTAGGCCAGTGAGTAACCCAACAATTCTGGGAACTACCAAATATTCATCCAGAAATATTTAAAGGAGAAAGAAAATTACGCAAATTCTACTTCAATCTATACAGCAATTTAAAAAACATTTATTGGCCCACTACTGTGTTCAAAGAAACATATTTTAGGTGCTACAGAATAATTGTTTCTAAAAAATCAATATACAGCCACTTCACTGAAAGAGTTGACAGAGGAGAAAGAATCAATAAAAATTAGATTAAGACCATGACTTTGCTTTCTCAGTATCTAGTACCTGGTATAATAGGGTTCAGTAAATGTTTGTTAATTCATAGATCAATTTCACAACAGAGAGCCCAAAGGCATTCACAATTCATCTAATTTCCAACTATTTTCTTAGTCCCCTCACAATCTTAGAGGATGAAAGACCTTTTTCAATTCCAAAATAAATTCCTCTATCTGTATTCTCAAATCTATCAAGGACCACTATTTTGTCCATCAATTACCTCTTCATTTCCCCATATTCAATAGCTCCTCTCTTCTGGTTCCTTCCCCTCAGGCCAAAGGAACATTTTACTACACCTCCCCCACACAAAAAAATGCAAAATACAAATAATGTACATTGTAACCACACAATAAATGTTTGTTGGATTGAACTGTATACTCCAATCAAAGGAGCCATTTACTATCTCGAATACATCATCCTCTTACTGAGAATTTCTCCTTAGCTCAAATTGTTTCCTCCAACTGAATGGAACACATTCCCTTCTCTTTCGCCTTTCCATCTTTCAAGATTCATTTAAAATACTTTGCCTTCAAGAAGCCTCTGCCATCCCAACCCTCAACACTAACTCTGGACCTCTGTGATGACATACGCTATACCTTGATGTAATCACTCTCACTGGAAACTACCAGAGGGCAACAACTGTGTCCTCCTCACTGTTATCACCACCAAGGTATCTGACACTTTCTGTTTTCTCTTGGCATTCCATAAATATTGCTTGCATTAAATGAAACATCTTTATCATTTTGCTCTAACATCTACCTGCCCCGTACCAGATCAAGCCACAATGTCACCTGGGTATATAGGCTTCTACTTTTTCCTTTTCTGACATGTTCTTAGGCCCATGATCAAAAAAACTGGTTTCTAGAAAGTAAACTGGCTCACCACTTTTCCACTTTCTCCAGTTTCAGAAAAAAATAAATAAAAACCTCTTTGGTTTTACACTTCTGCCTGCAGAATAAATATCAACCTATGAAATAGTATCTACTTTACCATGAGAATACTTACAGTTGTCCAGAGGCTCAGAAATAACCATTAGCTCAACACATATACCCTCAGCCTTCCTACCCTTCCCATCCTTACTAATGCATAACTGATAAAAAGGTCTTTTTGCTATTATTTTTTTTTCTTTTTTTTTCCCGTACCAGAGATCGAACTCAGGACCTTGTGCTGGCAAGGCAGGCACAGTGCCATTGAGCTAAATCCCTGGCCCTACTTTTTGCCACTATGTTAAGGTAGAAAAAAAGCAAATGAAAATTGTTAGGAAAAACTCAGAATAAACTAGCATCCCAATAAACTATAAAGCCAAACTGAATGCTGTACCCTTAGGTCAGTCTGCTGCTTCTAAGTTAAACAGTATTCATAATAAAAATGACAAAACACCCAAATAACTAGTGTTAAGCCTGAACTCAAATTAAAATAAGAAAAAAATAACTCCTAACCCTCTCTTTTTTTGATGTACCATATGAAGTACAAATGTAAGACAAAAGGATCATCGTGGAACATGAAATACAATGTACTTAGATTCTTTCTGGAAACTCAGTTGACCTTCTACTCATTTTTACTTCCTTGAAAGTTAGAGTTCCTAATGATCCTGGGAATAAGAGTGTAAAATGTTATGATACAGTAAGAAAAGTGACTAAGATGACCATGGGCTGATCTTATCTAAAACATTCTTTATTGGCCCTAAGGTAAGTAACCAAGTTGAATAATACAAACAATCAGGGTCTTTTCCACTGTATAAAAAATAATGCCATACATTTCAAATAAACAATGACAGTAAAACCAAAACCTGTCTAATAATGATGTGCATAATGAAAGACAAAGAAAGTCGATGCTGCCACCACCCCACCTCTGCAATGGACTCTGGTCTAGATCATCTCACTCACACGTCTAATCTGTAATAATCTGTATGAGGAAATAGTAACTGACAGATTTACTTCATTCAAGGTGGGATTTATTTGAGCAAAAGATTGCTGAGTTTTGAACTTATTTACAAAGGAACTATGTTCATCCATAAAGGTGAATGACTGTAAAAAGTGTTAAATCATTCTCCGCACTCAGTTTCACTGGGGAGGATAACGGCAAACAGGAGTACAGGCTCTCCTTGGAAAAGTGAGGAAAAAAATCTTGGAAAAAAGTGAATCTTGATCATAATGAGATTCAATAGCTCAAATAATCACAAACATGCCACCTGAACAAATAATCAAATGTTAATAATGAGGGGGCAATATGTTTTATGTTTCTTAGATAAACGTTTTAGATAAATCAAAGCTGACAAAGAAGTTACTGTACCTCTTAGACATCATTATGGTGGCCCTGATGAATAAGGCTGGAATCAGAACATTTTCTATGAGACTCTGAAATGGGAATGGCATCAGGGACCAGGAGGTGACTGGCTTTTACCAATTTATATCAGACTGAGCAATGAAGAGTGAAGAAAACCACACTATTCATTTTCTTGGCTTCGGGACAACCCAGTCATCACTATGAACAAGTGGCCCAGTCAAACACCAGTGCTGCCACCCCTGGTCTCTCTGGCCCCAGCTCTCCTCTCACTTTCACTCCTCCCTCTGAGCCTCCCTGGCTCAACAGCACACCCAGCGATTCAGGGTCTCCCCACGAAACCTGGGCAGATCACTTTTTGTGGGAAGTCATTTTCAGACCTTTACGTGGCTGCCAACGTAATTTCCCCGCTACTTGCTGAATAGAGGAAATGTAATGAAGCTGTAATTATATTATTGAAAATGGCCTTAAAACAAGCAATCTGATTTTCAAAGGACCACAGAATATCATGATTTCATTTAGAGAACTTACCATATTAATCTAAATTTACCTTCATCTAGAATACACTCAGTTGCTCCATTTTAAAGATGTTTCAACTGCCAGTCTCCTTTCAATTTAAAAATAAGCTCCCTATCATTCCTTCATATAACAGACATTTAGTTATTATTGCTTATATCCCAGGCACTATGTGGTCAGGATTCTTCTGCCCAAGGGAGGCACAACTAGTTGTCCTGAAGATTAGTAGCTACTAATGTACCTTATTGATGATACTCATTCTGCCAGCGTAAAGAACACATGCTAACCCCTACATTTCCTTGGTTTGACAGGTTAGGCTCTTTCTTATGCTACTGCCTACATGAGAGTCATGATACGAGCATCATGCCAGGCATTTTCTACCTTCATTTGTACTAAGCACTGATTTTTTAGAACACAGATAAATAAAGAATTCCAGAAAAAAATCTCCAGGCCTGTTGAGCTGTTCAGAAGTAAACCCAATTCACCAACAAACCCTACCTCTGTATATCCCATCAAATACAAATTGAAAACAGAAACAAATAAAAAATTTCAACTAAGAAAATGTGGATTTAGCAGCAATGTAAAACACAGTATCAGCCCTTGAAATAAGCAATTTTCTATTGTTATAATTTATAATAGATTATAACTACTTATGAATTTAAAGTCTTATAAGCAGAAGAGAAATTAAGGCTATTCTCATCAAACCCACACAGAAACTCACTCTGCTATGTTGAGATAGCCACAGGAAGCTGCTGCATGAAGAGGTGTCCAGCCCTCGTTGTCCTGCTGGTTTACATTGGCTCTGTTTTCCACCAAAAACTTTACCATGTCCAAATTTTCATCAATACAGGCCTGAAAAGAAAAGTCCATTCAATCATTCAGCAGCTATTTATTGAGTTCTAGTGTGTGCCAAGCATTTCTTTGGACACTGACAATGCCGAGCAGTTCAGGTAATACATTAATTTTTATTTCTTTCATACTAAGTGCCTAAGGCATGACTTCTAAGCCTTGAAGTACTATAGGACTATTATTTAGTAGTAAGAGTACTAACAGGATTAATTGGAAAAGGGATTTCTAAAGTGCTATAAATGGGTAAATTATTTCACCATTATATTATAAAAAGAAGAACATGTTAGAAATCTGATAAACACTGATTTGCTTATGAATTTTAAAAGAAAAAAATCACATAGGCTCAGATGCAATTTTCTCAGTGGGAAGTTACAGTTTAAAACTCTAGGACTGCTAGAATTTCTCATCTGTTTTGGCAAGAAAGGGTAGGAGGATCATTTCAAGTGGAAGAAATGTATTTTCTGAAAGGAAAAATATGTGTATGGTTATGGATAGTTAGGATCCTTCTCTGCCTATTTCATAGCAGCAATTAGAGGAGAGAACAAAAACCTTTCGAGGGCCGGGGATTTAGCTCAGTGGTTTCGCCGCCTGCTGCGCAAGTGCAAGGACCCAAGTTCGATCCCTAGTATCAAAAAAAAAAGTCTTTTGAATAAAGGCTTCAGGCTTCTAAGATTAAACAATCACAAACACCAGTGAGATCTGCAAAAACCAAAAAGCTGTCCTGACACAGATATAGAATAAAAAGGAGGCAGAAAGCCTACATTGACAAAGGTAATCATTATCCAGGTTTAGATGTTTCCAAAACCATTGGGGTAATTCAGGACCTAGAAACAAATGAGATCAACTTTTAAAAACTTGCCTATGAATCCTTTCCTTCAAATAAATAAATACTTAAAATTTTAGTAGAGGAAGAATTCATTGGCCAAATCAAAATGATTGCATATATTAGGAGCAATATTAGGAGGTTATTTACATTTTGATTGTGTTGACATTGGCACTAATGATGCAAAAGCAATGGTGAGTGAAACTGCCAGTGCCTTAGCACAAACCAAGATAAGTAGCACTGGGTCAGGGATTTAGCTCAGTGGTTCCGCCACCTGCTTTGCAAGCGCAAGGACCTGAGTTTGATCCCCAGTACAAAAAAAAGGAAAAAGAAAAAAAGATAAGTAGCATCAAGAGAAGCCAGTTCCACTTAAGAATGATGTAAATGAAGCAGTAAAAATTATTTATTTTATTTTATCTAAATCCTTGAATACAGTATAAGTTTTTTCAATATCGTGTGACAAAATTGGAAGTATACTTGAAGCACTACTGCTGTACCCAAAGTGTGTGGCCATTGCTAGGAAAAAGCACTTGTGTGCCAGGGATTTAACTGAGTAGCACTATGCCTGCCTTGTAAGTGCAAGGTCCTGAGTTCGATCCCCAGTGCCAAAAACAAAACAAAACAAAAAAGCACTTGTGCATTTATCTGACTTGCAAGATGAACTAGACACTTCTTTCACAGAACACTTTTCCTTCAAAAGAATTACTGACAATTTAATTATTCACACTTGAAATGAACAAGGTGAGCCTATCACCTCAAAGGAAATTACTACTCCTTATTGTCAATGATAAAACTCAACCATGCAAGGGAACATTGGAATTTTGGGAAACAAAGCCAACACCATGAGCTCTTGTGATGTGCATAACAGGACTATCAAACAACAAGGGTAATTTGTTAACATTACGTAGCAAAACATGTTGACATAGGAAGGTCTGCATAACTCAATGAACCTATATTTTCCAAATAACCAAATGCATGGTGTTAGAGAATCATGAGTAAAAGATTCATTCAATGTACAAGTTAGACCAATGGGTTTTAATGTAACAGAGTAACCCCAGTCCAGGACATGGTTTCAGTTTCCACACTGCAACCAATATTTAAGGAACTACCACTTGGAGTTTGGGTATAATACACAAGAACAAAACCCACAATTTTCTGAGGAGGCAAATCCAAGAAGACTATTTTAGAGGCTGGATTACACACACTCTTTCCTCTTAACAGTAACTTCTATTTTGTGATGGTTAATCTCGATTGGCTTGAGGGACTTAGAAGATCAGTAAAGCACACTTCTGGGTGTGTCTGGGTTAGTCATAGGGGCATGTCCTGGTCCCCTCCTCTGGCTCTTCCCCTGCTCTCTGCTTCCTGGATGCCATGAATTGTGCAGCTTTGCTTCCACCATGCCCTTCTTCCATGTTTCTGCCTTGGAGCAACCTAACCATGAACTGAAACCTCTCAAACCATGAGCCACAATAAACTTTTCTCCTGTAAGTTGTATATGTCAGATATTTTATCCCAGCAATGAGAAAGATGACTAATACATGTATTAAATGTGTCACCTTAACTTGGGTAGCCCAAGATAGCTGGGTCAATTGCTTCTTGCGTGGTTGCAAAATGTCTTTGGCTTTTAGAAAAGAACAGTCGAAAATGTTAGCTCCAATGATTACACCACCACCAGGCAGATTTTTAGAAACCAAGTGTTTTCAAGATAATTCTTTGCCCTTTGAAGATGTCAGGAGCCAAACTGTAGAGAACCTAAAAAAGCCCAGCTAGTCCAGGTATCAAACAGGAGAAAATTAATCATTTCTTCTTCCTTTCTTATTAGCTCCTTTTCCGTTCAAATTGGCTCCACTACTCCAGTTTTCCTCCTTTTCAATTTTGTGACATTGTTGTCCATAGATTTCTAATTTTGACACAATACTGTTGGGGGAATGACACTGTGAGGAAGTTTGAGAGAATGGCAATAAGAAATTGGCCTAATCTGAAACGTAATTTGGCAGGTCATCAGTCTCTGAAGAATTATTTTAGAGAAAACAGAGTAGTCCAATTGCTCAAATCATTCCCCACATCCTCTACAAAGTGAAGGACAATAATTGTTAAAAAGCATCAGCTTCAGGGAAAGACAGACCAGGGCTTAGATACAGCTCTGCCAATTCATACAACCATGAGCAGGATAGTTAACCTAAGTATCAGTGCACTCATCTAGCACACTGGGAAGACTGCCCACCTCAGGGTTTTGTGAGGATTAAAAGAGGTAAGCTCTTGGAATAGTTCCTGACGTTTTTAAGCTAACAGTTTAATAAATAGCAACTTCCCCAGGAAAAAAGCACACACACACACACATAAGATGTACTTATTCCTCACCTATCACACTCAGCCTCCACTTCCAGTATCTTACAGGGGGAAAGCAGTTTGATCAAAAATGTCTTTGAACTAGCAAAATTTGGGAGCTTACTTCTAAGTTTAACCTTAGAAAATGCCCTCTCTCCTTTCAGAGTTCTTTGGGTTCCTAAATTCAGGAGCTATAAGAATGCAATAGTATGTACCCTGGTTAAGTTGGAAGGGAGTTATCCTTGTAATCACTTCCATACTGATCAACACAAACATAGTACATTTACTCTCATGAAATACCTTGGAAGGATGGCTTCTCCCCTGCCATCCCTTTTTCCTCCCCTCCCATCCCTCTCTTCTTTTCTTTTTTGACTCCAGAAGATAGGCTACAACTAAAGCATGGATAAGAGACAAATAGGCCCTGAAAACCTTCTCAAATGAATAATGACTAAATTTAGATGTCCTTCAGCCCACTCCATCTGCAGCTGTGCTGCTGACTCATTCACAACTGAACCATGGTGCGTGAGCAGATTTGCCCATCTGTAAATCTGTCCAGGACCATGGACTCCAACACCATGTCTCTATCCAGAGCTATACTAAACCCTCCTTTCCTTTTCTTGGAAAGGAGACTAAACGTGCTTTTGATATTACCCATGACAACAATGGAGGAATTCTTCTTTGCCATTAACACAAATTTCTCCTGTTGTGACTCAAGTCCATTTCCTCCTACTTTGCATTCCTAAAGATACACAGAATACTACTAAAGTATCAATTTGTCCTAAGCTCTCTAAGAAATGAAGATATGATTTTATAGTCCAAAAGACCTATTTCAATTAACTGGCAGCTAACAAGCTTAAACTTTCTCCTAACACAGGCATGTTACCTTTCACTGACAAAGACTCCACGGGGTAATATTTGCTTTTACCAATAAAATGAGGAAAGAGCACGGTAATCTTTCTACTGTACCCGATATTGCTCTCTACATATCAAACGCAGAAGTGGCTGATGGGTGATCAGTGCCAGAGTTAAATCTGAGAGTGCAACAGAGGTCTGACAAAACAAAGCCTCCTTGGTTCCCAAAATATCCTGCAACTGTCACCGCCACCAAGTGCTGGCTTTAAGAGCTGACCTTGCTGCTGTGCTTCAGAATAATGCTAATACTACCTGCTTCGGCCTGCAAACAACTCTCCCACAAAGCCCAGCTCTTTGTGCCTGGGCAGTTGTTACACCAGAAACTGGACTTACTGCAACCTAACACCTACTTGTTTTTCTTTTTCAGACCATATTTGCCCTGATTTCAACAAATCATTCTCACAGAAGTGTTGAAAGAGTACACTGAAAAACACTATGACCATGGGCAATCCTCAGAAGAGGAAAAAAGTATTTGCAAGTCATGTATCTATCCGACTGAGATTAATATCCAAAATATATAGGGAACTCCTAAAACTCAACAAGAACAAAAGCTATCCAATTAAAAAATGGGCAAAAGACTTTAATAAATCTGTTATTATGTTTACAAATATTATATAGATGACCAAAAGCACATGAAACAATGGTCAACATCAGTAACTATTAGGGAAGTACAAGTCAAAAACAATAGTATACTACCTCACAACCACCAGAGTGGCCGCTCAAAAAAAACAGGAAACAACAAAAGTGATGGTAAGAATGTAGAGAAATCAATATACATGCTACTGAAGTGAGCACAAGAAGAAACAGAATTTTAAATTTTGTACACTGCTAAAGGTAACATAAAATGATAAAGCCTCTATGGAAAATAGTATCGTGGTTCTTGAAAAGAATCAAAAATATAATTATTATTTCTATTCTATTCAAAAATAGAATTTGGGGC